TATCAAATGTAACAACCATTACATTCAAACTTTCAAATATGAATTAATTTCCATAACGACTATTAATCTAGTCGTTCAAACATAGCAGTCATCATACTCATGTAATCAAGTTATGCAATAATATGACACCACATTCTATATGTCATGTTGTCACATTAATCAAGATATCAAACCATACAATGCATTCATTCATAAAAATAAAGCAATTATGCATTAGACTTTAATCCATGGTTCTCTAGAGAAAAAGAAAGAAAAATGAAACAAAAAAACTCTTTAGCGTGTATCCTCCTTCCTTTTAGTCCATAGGGATCTAGTCCAAGCCCCTTTAAGGTAACCACGAGCCCAAAATACTAAACTTTGGCAAGAAAACCTAATTCCACTTTCAAGAACCATAGTCGTCGTATCAACTGCACCTTCAAATTAAGTCGTATTAGCACGAAACTCTAGGTTCATGACCACCTTGAAGAGAAGAATTCCACGCCACCAGAACCACCCTGATTGGACCTCACACACGCTCCATCTTCACCTATGTGAGGTGCCCACGGGAAGCCACATGTGGCGGCGCATGGAGGCTTTTTTCAGTCCGATCTGATCGTCTTCTTGTTAAGTTTTTTGTCTTCTATATTGTTGGTTTCTCAGATTGGTCACCATAAAGTCACAGATATATCCTAATAGATATGGATATCCTTGTTTTCGACTTCTTGGATCTTATTTTCATTATAATTTTGTAATACAAAAAAATGTATAAAAACTGAAATAAAAATAAAGAGGAAACTTAATCATATGGGATTAGCCTCCTTGTTACAATCAAAGAAAATACAAAGAATTCTCTACCATTGATTAAAGCCAAAAACCAAATAAAGCATCGATTTTTAATGAAAATAATTATAAGGATACACATGCGAAACACATACCATATAAACATTAAACCCTAGGTGCCATATTTCATAAAGCAAAACTAATTACATGAAAAATTGTAAATAAAAAACTAGATCCACATCCAAACATGCAACCTGGCTCTGATACCATGCGTAGGTGCAATTGGATTTGCGGAAGCGTTTAGGCTGTTGTGGTTTATGATGTAACAGATCATCATCTTTTTAATTTACCTCTTCTTGCGCATATCTATGCAGTATTTCCTCATGTTTGATTGCTCTTCATGAATTGCTCTCCTCTGCACAAACAATCTCCTTGAGCCTGGCTAGTGGTAGATCTTTCAGACTATCTCTCAAGAGGGATAAGACTGATGTGTGGGCACTCTCTCACTATTACGAAGATGACGTTACCTCAGCCTCTATAACCACAAAGTGAAGACCAGAGAGGCTGATGACTATAAGTGTAGAATATATATAGGTTGCAAGAAATCCTAGGCCTACGCTAAATGAGCTCTAGGTTTCTTGGGCTCTTTTTACACACTAGACTTACTTGGACTTTAGTGAAAGAGAAAAACCCAAAAAATAGCCAAGAAGATCAGATTAACAAGATTTCTTATAAAACTAAACTAGAAGATCGAGCTGCAGCACTAGATATTCAAATTAAAGTCCAAACTTGGAGCCCAAGTCACTCAAGCTTAAAAATAAAGGCGCTCATGAAACACCAATGAATCAACCAAAGTTACCAAGTTTATAAGTTAGTTTTCCCTACTAATCGAGAGATAATGGAAGGGTTCAAGCCCAATAGGGAAGAACCCTAGAAAGAGAGAGATTCTTGGAGGAAGAAGAGCTGCTGGAGCAAGACTCTGATAGAATTTTACAATAGTGTGTTTTAGTTTTTTCTTCTATTTTCCATGAATTTTTTCTTCTTTTTCTCTGTTTTATTTTATTCCATTGTGAGCTAAATTGCTCCTTAAGTTAGGTGATAGAGTACCCATGTTATAACACTGTGATGGATGCATAAACTTTATTTTTATGAATGTTTAATTAGTTATTCAACAAGTTTATTTATTTTTATTCACGTGTGCATGTCAAAAGATACATATATGATATTGAGTAGGTTGGGATAGAGAGATTTCCAAATCCAGACCCTTGTTGTATTATGCGGGTCAATTAGGTGAAGATAAAATAACTTAATTGGGTTAATTAAAAAAAGTTGAGTAACTTGGTTAATTAGGTGAAAAAGAGTAACCTTGGAATTTCTATTCTCAAATTTAGGTATGTTTGACTACTATCTTGAATTATTATCAAGCTATTTGGTACTTTGAGATAGCTTGATAATCTATGACATGTTCAAATTTATCATAATTATATTAATTAAAAATACGTAACGACATCAATTTATTCTAAAGGAGTGGTTTAGCCATGATGACTCGCTAACTTAAAGTGCCAAACTCTATGAATCTTTTAAAATAATAATCTATTATTTTATTAACGACGTAGTTTGAAGTTTCTATTGCACTAGGGGATACATCGAAGCGGAAATTTTCCACATAATTTAGTCCTTATAATTATTATTATTATTATTTTGTAGGCTAAGGAATTTTTTTTAAAATTTTTAAATACGTTACACAATTAACTTAAAATAACCATTTTTTGAGTTTATTTAGTAGGGGTGAAGTGGAATTAAGAACCTAATTATGCACAGAAAGTGAATTAACTACTTTAAATAAGTTACACAATTAACTAATTTTCACTTTGTGTACATAATTAGATTCTTGAACCTTGATCTACATTATTAAAGACCAGTTTGCAAAAGAAACATGTTTTTCCAATTTTTCCTTAGCTCAATTTAAATTGGCAGTAACTCCATTTGTTTAATGTAATTCTTGGATCGTTACATCGTTGTCTACAGTTTTGTTGAATTAGGATATTCTGATTTGATAATTAAGATTGTTTTAATATATTGTTAGGTTATTCTGACAAAAATAGGTAGTTGATACTCTGTACTCTGTAGTAAGTGCGGATGTCATGATATTGCTATGATGTTCTAAAACTTTTAAGAATTATGTACTCATTGTTTAGGGAACTACTTTTGCTAAGAAATGAGATTTATGAAAAGTTGACTATGTTAAATTGAAAACTTTTGAAATATGGCATGAAAACTGGATCGCGATGATAAACTTTTGGTTATGCTGTCTTTGAATGGAATTACTGAATTTAATGCTCTTGTTAATTGATGAATTTAATTCTATTGAGATTTAAAAATTGATGACCTAACTTTAAAAATGGAGTTCAATGTTATTGAGTTGCTCAACTGGATGTAATAAGGAAATATGGATTAGGTAAATGATTTTCTATTGCTATTGACAATTTCGTTTATTGCTTCTTGAGAATTTGGTTGTTGGTACTTTGTACCCTCATAAATGCTGCTCTTAACAATTAAAACTCCATGTTGTAGCAAAGAGTATTAATCCCCAGTAAAAAATGTATAAAAGGAAAACTTTTGTTGTCAATGCCTCAACCTAGTACTGATGCTAGGGAATTGATGAAAGTCCTACGATGGAATTATCTTAAAAAAAAAAAAAAAAGAAGCAACGTTTTAGAGTTATTTTGTTGCATGGTTGATTTAGGAATTACTGCAACCTATAAGATTAAATTTGGGCTTTGTTCCGGATGGCCTAACGCCACAATGGCCCAATGGCCCAAGCCCAAAACCTTTCACCCTTATCCATGTCAGCCCTACCGATCTTCCAGCTCCTCTACCCCCAAGGCGATTGCACTCTCTAGGTGAGACACGAAAATGTCTCACCTTGGGATTCCAATTCCCTGGGAGACCGCCCCAGATACTATAAGTGGAAACTACCTTAGTGTCATATGCTAACATCGTCAGGCATATCGCCAGGAATAGGGACTGTATCACTGCTATCATAGTAGTGATGCAACCACCCCTCAGCTGATCCTAATGAGGGTCGACCCCCTCCTCACCAACCCACAGGGGAAGAGCATCTCATTTTCCCTATAAATACGCCCCTTCCTCACATAAGAAAGGGTATCTTATGTATCATTATTCTGCCCATTTACTTTGAGTCACACATACACACACCCAACCCCCATTGTCAACTGCTTGCATTATACTTGGAACAGTACCTCCTAGCTTGGTCGCTACCTTTGCTAGAGGTATTACCCATATAGTGACTCCATCCCCAAAGGGAACATAGTGGGCTTATAGTCCCCAACGGTACATTACCGCCCTCTGTGGGGAACTATAAACTTATATTCCCATTCTCTTACCAAAGATCCATAGAAGGCAGTTCCTATCCCTTTAGCGAAGTATGGTTGTCACTACGAGAAGAGAAGAGCAGAGTAGAGCCACCACCCCCGAAGGTCATGCACAAACAATCCACTCAAACTCCCCGTCGTCCATACAGTCAGCTCCAGCTGAGCAAGCAGCTGTTGAAACTCTCCCCCAGTGCTGCAATCTGTTGGTGCACAGATGCCGGTAGACAACGCTAGGATAGCACAATTGAATCGTCGCGTAGCCATACATGAAGTTCAAGCAGAGAACGTAGTCCCAACTCAACCCCCACCACTTGATGTCCATTATGGAATGCCTTTCCCTACTACAGTCCCATAAACAGCTCCACCCCCTTGTATCAGCAGCCGACCCGAAGCCAACTTGTAGCTGTGTACAATGAACACAGAGTACCAGTAGTCACCAGATATGCCCCTGGACCTTACACCCATCACGCAGGTGCCCCTTACCCCGTGTCGCCATTCGCCGCCGATTTTCCATTCCATGGTTACGCGGTACCACCGCATAACGCAATCGCCCCACAACCTCAAGGATCATATATGATACTGCCCCCACCCCAACACGGCATCCATCACGCCCCAACCCTCTCATTCTATGTGGAAGCCCCTCAAGCACCCCACCCACTGCCAGACCTACACGCGCATAACCTGAACGTGCGAGTCACACCCGCCAACACTTCCGAACGCAACAAACCTCTAACCGACAACCTACGCCTAACCCCTACACCTTTGGGTTTCAAAGGTCCTTCCAATATTACCACATATGTTGGTGATACCGACCCTTTCGAATGGATCCAGAAGTTCGAAGCGGCAATGACCCTTCATGGCGAGACTGATCTCCTCATGTGCAGGACCTTCCCCACACTTCTGGGGAGGAGAGCATTGACGTGGTACACCACTTTGCCAACTAGGAGTATTGCGTCCTGGGATGATTTGGCGAACAAGTTTCAAACTCATTTCGCAACAGGTCTCCCTGTGCCCAAGTCTGTCCATTCTCTGGAAAAAATTCGCCAACAATCAGGGGAGTCCCTCAGATCCTTTCTAGACCTATTTGATAAAGATGCTTTGCAAGTTCAGGGCCTAGACCTTAAGATGCAGGTACACATACTCTTATCATGCTTAAGACAAGGGGCGTTCGCTTATGAACTAGCCCGCCACGAAATAACTGACCTATAAGAGATCAAGAAAAAAGCTCAAGAGTTCATGCGAATTGAAGAATATAAAGGGAGCAGAGCTGACGATTCCCACAACCAAAAGAAGAAAGCAAGTAAAAGTAAAGATCAAGTTGATGAGGACAGGAAAATTCACAAGTCCTCTAGATATATCAGCCGCCCTTTGGGGCGTGGCCCCTCAGGACGCCAATCACACAACGTCCTACAAACTGAATATAAAGAAGAGCGTAAAACTAACTCACAACGCCAAGAGCCGACAAGGGAGACTGTCGTGTACTGCAAATTCCACCGCAGCAACGACCATAGCACCGAAGAATGCAGATCCCTTAAAGAGGATATTGATGAGCTAATCAAAGGAGGAGCCTAGAGGAAATACAATAACTCAACACGCGAAGTTGGTCCAGCCAGACGTCGCCCAGAGCGTAGCAGGTCACCTGAAAGGAGGAGAACCAACCAAGCTGATTACAGGCCGCGTCGTGAACGCAATCAAAGAGAATACTCTCCAAGAAGCCATAGGGAGTAGACCGGTCCAAACACCAGAGGAAGACGGGAAGAAGATGAGGAAGACTCAGCTGTCATCAAACATGGTGTAATAAACATGATCTCACACCCCACACATCCTTCCATGGCCGAAATCATCATGCTCATAAACCAAAGGTTATTCAATCCAATTCAACATTTCCACACATCATACAATCCTACTCTTAACTCATACAACTATTCCACTACTCAATTACACAAGCACACAACCTCTCAATTCCACAAAGTCATGGCATTCAACCCAAATTTTCCTAACTTATAATCCAAATTTCATCAATAATTTTTATGACATCCATCACTCTAAAACATCATTCTAAGCCACATTTGTCTAATACACAATTTCATTTTGAGCTCTCTAACTACATCAATTCATACACTCCATTCTAGGTCACCAAAATTAAAACTTATGATTCAACCATTAGAAAGTGTTAAAACTTACTCAAAAGCTTGGTCTAGGACTCCTCCACAACATACTAAAGCATTGGAGGATCAAACAACTCCAAGAACACCAATCTCCACACTTTGGCCACGGGTTTGGGGTGGATTTTCTCCAAATTTAGTGAGCTTCAAGGCTCAATAATACCATGGTTATGTTTGGATGATGATTTCTAACAACATTGGTGACAAACTTTGCTTGATTTGAGGTAGTATTAAGTGAGTTAGGAGAGAAAGAAAAATCAAAGAAACTTGGCCATGGGGGGGGGGGATTGTCTGCGGGTTACGGAGAGAGAAGGGGGAAGGGATGAGTGAATAGTGACCTTAGCTTAGTTGTCATCTTATGACTTAATCGGGGTGGGTCCCACTGCCACCTCACGCGATTCAAACTGATTCAAATCTCCCGCCTATTCTACTAAACGTACATAATTTCATAAACTATTTAGAAACTCTAATTTTTAACAATAACCGTTGTCCTTTAATTACCCTTGATCAGATGAATCCGAAGTTTTTCGATCGTTCGGAGAAATCACAGTTTTAAGCTATTATGCACGTCGTGGGCACGCTTCCCCAAACACACTAATTTCCATCAATTTTTACCAAAAATCATATTTCCTAGTACTATGTACAATTTATAACTTATATCAAAACCTAGAGCTCAAAATTCATTTGGCGCGCTTTACGGTGCAACTGTACTGCGGTATTTTTACCCGAAAAAAATATTATTCACCAAATTTTCAGAAACTTGCCTAACCACTCAACTTTTCGTTCTGAATCTATTTCCAGGGTTAGTTTTCTCATTTGAGACCTCCTAATCAACTTTACCTTCCTAGGGTTATGTGTTTGGCTAATTACCGTTTTACCCTTCATTTGTATTTTGACCTTAAGTTCAAGATTTTCACTAATCCTACCCTTTAATCCATATTTAATATATTAATATATGTTTTAGAAATGCGAGGTGTTATAAGATGACCCTCGGATGAAACACTCCAGACCTACCCCTGATGGAGCATTAGAACATGTTGTTCTAGGCGATGTTGACCACCAAACGACAACCATCGGGGCGACCATAGCCCAGATGTGAAAAACAAATTGATCAAGCTGCTGCAAGATAACAAAGACCTATTCGCATGGAAACCATCTGACATGCCAGGGATTGACCCTGAAATATGTTGCCATAGACTGTCCATAGACCCTAAAGCGAAACTCGTCGCCCAGAAAAAAGGAAGTTTGGCCCCGATCGCCAAAAGATCATCGATGAAGAGGTTAAGAGACTCCTAGTCGCTGGTTTCATCAGAGAAATCATCTACACAACCTGGTTCTCTAATTCGGTGTTGGTTAAAAAGCCTAATGGAGCATGGAGAATGTGTGTAGACTACACTGATCTGAACAAAGTGTGCCCTAAGGATGCCTACCCTTTCCCTAGTATCGACCAGCTGGTAAATAATGCATCTGGTTTCAAAATGCTTTCCTTCATGGATGCATACTCTGGTTACAATCAGATCTCGTTGTTGGAGGAAGACCAAGATAAAACGTCGTTCATCACCCAGAACGCCAACTATTGTTACACCATGATGCCGTTTGGACTAAAGAATGCTGGAGCCACTTATTAGAGGATGATGAACAAGGTATTCAAAGAGTTGATTGGCGACATCATTGATGTTTACATTGATGACATGATCACCAAATCACAGTCACCTGAACAACATCTGCTACACCTCCAAAGAATGTTTGACAAGTTAAGAGAATACAACATGAGGTTGAACCCCGGCAAGTGCGCTTTTGGAGTTCCAGCAGGAAAATTTCTAGGATTCATGCTCACTGAGAGAGGCATCGAAGTAAATCCTGAAAAATGTAGGGAAGTGATAGAAATGAAGAGTCCACAAACAGTCAAAGAAGTGCAACAACTAACCGGTCAGATAGTAGCTCTCACCCATTTTCTGGCAAACTCGGCGTATAAGTCCCTCCCCTTGTTCAACTTATTCAAGAAAGGCACAACCTTCCAATGGACTGAAGAGTGTGAAAAGGATTTCCAAGAATTTAAAAGAGCCTTGTCATGCCCGCCAGTCCTTACCAAGCCAGAGAACGACGAGACCCTTTTCCTTTATCTCGCCGTAGGTGCAAAAGCTATTAGTGCAGTTTTAATCATAGAAAACAAGAATGAAGGGCAGAGACCAATTTACTTCGTCAGCAAAGTTTTGCAAGGTGATGAACTCCGATATCAACAAGTGGAGAAGGTCACACTCACACTCATCTTCGCCGCCCGAAGATTAAGACCATACTTCCAGTGCCACCTAATTGTCGTCAGGACCAACCAACCTATCTGACAGGTCCTACCCAAGCCAGATCTCGCCAGAAGAATGATGTCATGGGCGATTGAACTGTCAGAATACCAAATTAGCTATGAGCCGAGGACCGCCATTAAAGCTCAGGCCCTCGCCGACTTTATAGCTGAAATGACACAAGGCCCGCAACCAGACGATCATATCACAGAAGCCCCGCCGCTAGCAGTGTGGAAGTTGTATGTTGACGGTTCCTCCAATGCCAAAGGTTCTGGCGCTAGCATGATAATAGAAAACTCAGATGGGTTGGCGATTGAACATTCCATGTCCTTCAGTTTTAATACCACTAACAATCAAGCCGAATACGAGGCCATGATAGCCGGGCTAATCTAAGCCAAAAGTTAGGAGCTCAACGCCTCAAAGTTTTTAGCGATTCTCAATTGGTAACTTTTCAAATATCTGAGGAATATCAGGCCAAGGGCCCATTAATGTGCAAATACTTGGAGAAAGTGAAGGAGTTAATGCAAACCTTCGAGGCAGTTGAAGTAGAACACATCAGGAGATCAGAGAATACCCGGGCAGACATCCTCGCCAAGTTAGCAAGCACAAAGAGCCCAGGTAACAACCGCTCCGTAATCCAACATAATTTGCCTAACCCATGCATCGTCATGAATATTTCAGACGTGACGACCGAAGTCGCTGAAGAGACTTGGATCACGCCCATCGTCAATTACTTGTCTGAAGGAACCCTCCCTTCTGACCAAAGGGAAGCTAAGAAGATAGTACGAAGAAGCGCCATTTCTGCATGGTACAAGGACGCCTGTATAAAAGAGGATGCTCAACTCCACTTCTGAAGTGCCTGAACCCCAGCGACGTTGAGTACGTTATTGAAGAAATCCACGAAGGGATTAATGGCCATCACATAGGCGGGAACTCATTGGCAAGGAAAACACTTAGAGCTGGCTTCTATTGGCCGACCATGGAGTGAGACGCCCATGAGCATGTTAAAAAATGTGAGAAATGCCAGAGGTTTGCTGACGTACATAAAGCCCCACATGAAGAATTGACGTCAATCACCTCCCCCTGGCCCTTCTACAAGTGGGAAATGGACATACTAGGCCCATTCCCTATAGCGGCTGGCCGGGTCTAATGGTTGATCGTCGCCATTGATTATTTTACCAAATGGGTAGAAGCTGAACCTGTAGCCACTATTACATCCCAAAAGGTGAGGAAGTTTTTCTGGAGCAGTATTGTTTACCGTTTCGGCATCCCGGGTGAAGGCATTACAGACAATGGTACTCAGTTCACCGACGCCAAGTTCCGAGAGTTAATGAACAATTTGCAGATCCGACATCACTTCGCCACAGTAGAACACCCTCAATCCAATAGGCTAGTAGAGTCAGCCAACAAAATGCTCTCCAAAGGAATCAAGAAGAAATTAGAGGCACATAAAGGCGCGTGGGTCGAAAACTTGGAAAATATTCTGTGGGGATATAGGACAACTGCCCAATCCAGCACCACAGAAACGCCCTTCAGATTACCTACGGTGCTGAGGCGATGATTCCCGTGGAAGCCAGAGAACCCTCTTAGAGGAGAGATTACATTACCGAGGTGACCAACAACCAAAACCTCAGAGAAGCATTAGACCTGTTAGACGAACTCCGAGAACATGCCTCTTAGTCTGAACACCAATGCAAAGAAAGATCAGCCACCCGTTACAACAAAAAGGTCGTTCCAAGGAAGTTTGCTGAAAAAGATTTAGTTCTCAGACGGGCAGACGTAGGAAACAAGAACACCTGAGAAGGAAAGCTCGCCCTAAAATGGGAAGGGCCCTACCAAACAGCCAACAAGTTGGGAGGAGGAGCTTATTCTCTTGAGACATTAGAAGGAAAAGCAATCCCTAGGGCGTGGAATGCTGACAAGCTCAGAAGATATTATAATTGAGCCACTATGTAACCTTTTACTGCACGCTTTTATTTTCCAAGTTTTTATCCCAATGGGTTTTGCTTGGGAAGGTTTTTAATGAGGCAGGACTTCGTTTTTAATCAATAAACTCGTGTTGACTCCACAACTCATCCTGTTTGATTTCCACAATCTTGTTACGGGATGG